TTTAGAGGGCTTCTCACTATGGCCTTCTCCACTGTGCCCTTCACTTGAGAAAAAGAAATGTTGGACCAAGAGAACAAGCCCCCAGAATTCCCTGCCCAAACAGCCCTGAGCTCACATCTAAAGACTGCACAAGCCATTTCCCTGAGTCTGCCCTCCCAGATCTGTGTACCTTACAGTGGGTAGCCAAAGGGTAGTTGCTTGCAAATGACAAGTGCTGGCAAGGATGCAGAGAAAAAGGAACCCTCATGCACTCTTGGTGGGAATGCAGACTGATGCGGCCACTGTGGAGAACACTATGGAGTTTCCTCAAAAAAACTAAAAATGGAACTCCCATTGACCCAGTAATCCCACTTCTCTGAATATATCCCAAGAAACTAGAAACAATAAGAAAGGATATATGTACCCCTATGTTCATAGCAGCACAATTTACAATAGCTAAGATTTGGAAACAGCCTAAGTGCCCATCAGCAGATGAGTGGATTAAAAAACTGTGGTACAGCTACACAATGGAATACTATGCTGCTATAAAAATGAAGAAACTCGTACCATTTGCAACAGCATGGATTGTCCTGGAGAGCATTATGCTGAGTGAAATAAGTCAGTCAGAGAAAGATAAATATCACATGATCTCACTCATTTGTGGAATATAATGAACAACATAAACTGATGAACAAAAACAGATTCAGAGACAGGGAAGCATCGATGAGAGGCTCAAACCTCAGAGGAAAGGTAGGAATTGAGAAAGGGGGTCTGACTGGACAGCTTGGTGTCAGTGGTGGGGTCACGTGGCCACCTGAGGAGAACATGGGGAAGAAGGGAACAGAGGCAGCGAGCCCAGCACAGCACGCTCCAAAAGAAGTCATCATGAACCAGAAATGCCAGCCGCCATGTGTGTCATTTAAAAATCTTTTAGTAGGGAGGGTAGGGGTAAGGGGGAGAGATCAACCAAAGGATTTGTATGCATGCATAGAAGTATAACCAATGGACACAGACACCAGGGGGGTGAGAGCATGAGCGGGGAGGCAGTGGGGGGATAAAGACACATGTAATATCTTAATCAATAAAGAAAGAAAAATAAATAAATATATTAAAATATATATATTAAAAAAGAAATATGAACAGAGCTTGGATGTGTCATCTGTAGTGACCACACACAGGCACTCTATGTGTGGAGGTCCTTACAACACAGGTTAGAATAAGGTTGGAAAGAGAGGAGAAATTGGGCTATGGGTCTTGCATGGGGAAGTGCAATATAGTGGAGATGGATGATGGCACTTATCTCATGGAAATGTTCCAGGCTCTAAGAATTCTAAATGAGGCCCGGCCAGAGTGGCTCAGTGTTTGAACGTTGACCTAGAACCAGGAGGTCATGGTTCGATTCCTGGTCAGGGCACATGCCTGGGTTGCAGGCTTAATCCCCAGTGTAACGCATGCAGGAGGCAGCTAATCAATGATTCTCTCTCATCATTGATGTTTCTATCTCTCTCTGAAATCAATAAAAATAAATTTTAAAAAATAATAATTCTAAATGAAAATCTGTCTTTCTATCTCATTATAATAAAAGTTGGTTTGTCAAAACAGGAGGGCAGAACAGATCTTATTTAACAGTGTCTTCAATTGATTTATAACTTTTACATAGATATATGGTATACGTGCCTCCACTCAAACCCTTGTTCCAGTTCCCATACATGCAATGCAGGAGCAGAACTGAGGCCATTTGTGCTCAGCTCAGAGTAACTTGGGAGCCATTAGGACCTTGTCTTGCTCTGCTGATAAGCCTAGAAAGCTTGAGTTTTACTAGATATTTTGGTGCTTGGCTCATTCCTCAACATTCACCTTCAGTAAGTCAAGCAAATAACCAAAATTACATAAATCTTGCTTATCAGCAAGGAGAGGTAAAAGAAAAAGAGATTAGATTATCTCCAAGTAGATCTGCTTGATTAGATTTTTTAAAATGTGGACTAGAGGACTCTAACATACTTAATACTTGAATGACCTTGATTCCAAACCCCAGATGCTCAAATCTTGAATTCTCTCAGTCCTGATGGAAGCCAACTCAATTGCTTACTTTTCTAGTTTGCACCTGAATAAACTTCTAATATTTATTCCAATGAGATTATCTACCAATACGTGCATGTTATTTAAAAATATATGCGTTACCAATTTGTAATTTGGCTCTGAATCTGGGGTGGTTCCTTTTAGCAAACATTTGACAACCGCTTATGTTGTAAGTATTTTGCATGGTACCGTAGGAGATACAACAGTGAACAAGAAAGACTTACCTTTAGCTTTGCCTTTTTTTAAATTTATTTTTATTATTGAAAGTATTACAGATGTCCCTTTTTTTTCCCCTCCACTGACCCCTTTTACCCAGCCCCTGTCCCCACCCTCCAGGCCTCCACCACACTATTGTCTGTATCCATGGGTTATGCATATATGCATATAAATTCTTTGGTTAATCTCTCCCCATTCACCTACCCACCAGCACTTTCCCTCTGAGATCATCAGTTTGTTCATGCTTCTATGTCTCTGGATCTATTTTTTCATCAGTTTATTTTGTTCATTAGATTCCATATATGAGTGAGATCATGTGATACTTGTCTTTCTCTGACTGGCTTATTTTGCTTAGCATAATACTCTCCAGGTCCCTCCATGCTATCTCAAAGGGTAAGAGATCCTTCTTTTTATTGCTGCATAGTATTCCAAGGTATAAATGTAACATAGCTTTTTTATCCATTCATCTACTGATACGCACTTGGGCTATTTCCAGATCTTAGCTATTGTAAATTGTGCTGCTATGAACATAGGGGTGCATATATTATTTCTTATTGGTGTTTCAGGTTTCTTAGGACATATTTCTTGAAGTGGGGTCACTGGGTCAAATGGTAGTTCCATATTTAATTGTTTTAGGAAACTCCATACTGTTTTCCATAATGACTGCACCAGTCTGCATTCCCACCAGCAGTGTACTAGGGTTCCCTTTTCTCCACATCCTCACCAACACTTGCCATTTGTTGATGGTAGCCTTTCTGACAGGTATGTGGTAATAGCTCATTGTCTTTTTAATTTTCATCTCTCTGATGATTAGTGACAGAGCATGTCTCTTGGTGAACTGTATGTCCACTTCAGAGAAGTATCTATTTAGGTCCTTTGCCCATCTTTTAATTGGAATGTTTGTCTTCATTTTGTTATGCTGTATGAGTTCCTTATATATTTTGGATATTAAGCCCTTACCTTTGAGAAACTCATGTCTGGCAGGAGACACACATCAAACAAACACAGTTAAGAAATAATTCTGCAAGTAACTAATTGCAATTTTCAGAAGTGCTACAAAGGAAAGTACAGAATACCAAGAGAGTAGATAACAGGGGGACATAACCAGGTCTGGGAAGTGCAGACAGAGTATCCTTGAATAAGTGGTATTTATGCTGAAGGATGAGCCATTGGAGGGGACAGGAAGCAGCACCACCTGAAAGCCAGCATTCAAGAGAGGAAAACCACACATGCAAATAAGCCTTGAGGCAGGAAGGAACTTGGCACAATAGAAGAACTAAAAAAAAAAAAGTGAGTTGGAACATAACAGAAGATAGTGAAATAAATGCTGGAGAGACAGGCAAGGGTCAGAGGATACATGTTTTTAGAGATCACATTTAAAATATATGGAGTTTTATTCAAAGTGCAATGGAAGCCTTCAAGGTTTTAACCTGGAAGCAAAGAATCAGAATTATGCTTTGGAAGATCACTGGAGGTGTGAAACAATGCTCAGAGCCTACAGAGTCACAGATATATTTTCAATTCTATGAGATTTTGAATAACTTAAGATATTACCAGGACAATCAAATATCCCTCCTGCAAGTTTTTAAAATATTCAAAACTGACTTTTTCCCAAATACAAAGTCTAGGGCACTCTGGGTCAAACTGTATTCCTTGAGAATTTCTTTTCTTTAGGTGGGGTCTACATATTAATCAAGTTTGGGAAATGCTGCTCTAGGAGTTAAATGAAAAATGACTTGGCTGGACTGGCCTGGCTCAGTGGTTGAGCATCCACTTATGATCCAGGAGATCACGAGTCAGGGCACATGTCTGGGTTGTGAGCTCGATCCGCAGTGTGGGGTGTGCAGGAGGCAGATGATCAATGATTCTCTCTCATCATTGATCTCCCTCTTCCTTCCTCTCTGAAATCAATAAATTTATTTTTTTTAAAAAAAAAAAGAAAAATGACTTGGAGGAGGGTACAAGCGGCTAAGACAAAAATTTGGAAGTTATTATGGAGGTGCAGAAATTATGGTAATTTAGACCAGAGTAATGTCAGTAAATGCAGAGAGAAGCTGACTGGCCCCAGAAGGTAGAATGTTTGACACTGAGGACTGATTAGACCAGTGATTGAGGGAGTCGGGTATCAGGCTTGACAATCAGACTACAGGTAGATATGACTTGATGGTTATCGAGACGATAAAAGTTGAGAATTACTAGTATGTACTGCCTATGAGTATGAGGTACTATTCAAAGCACCCTTGTGGTAACTCATAGAATTCTCACAAAACCTTAACAGAGAAGAGCTATTATTACCTACACAGAGGTCAAGGGACTTACATAAGTCTTTTTTTTCTGGGTCTTTAGCCAGGACCGTGGTCAGTGAACCTGCCTTCTCAGGATATAACAGGATATAATCCAGGAAGAAAAATAATAGTTTTCTGATTCTGTGCTTTAGCCTGTATGAATGCAAGTCTGTTTACAGTGGTGTGCCTTCTCAATACAGCCCTCCTCAGCAGCTCCATTGGGGTTTCGCAACCTCTTACCTGGAACCTGATGTTCCCACACAGGAACTTTTGTCCATGGATCAGTTACTGTTTCTGTGGGGTGATGTGAGCAGATGACTTCCTACTCCACCATCTTGCTGACCCAGAGCAAACATTTTAAAGCTAAACTGATAGTATTCACTATTAGTTCTTAGAAGACTGATAAACAACAGTTCTCATATGTAGCACATAGCATCTTACCTGGCATGGCAAAAATCCACATTTGATGTGCATCTCTGTGGTTATCCTCCTGACCTGGAAATTCTCAGGGCATCTATCTTAGGAGAAAATCATAGGTCAAAAACCAATCCCCTATCCTGTCTGTCCAATTTGAAACTTAGAACTTAGAACTTCTGCTTCCATTTTTATGTGTTGTAAGGCCTAGCCCCATCAAAAATAAGGTCTCTTAAAAAAAAAAAAACCATAACAAAAGCAGAATGGAAAAGAGGGAAATATTACTGAAAATAGTCACTCACCTAATTTATTCCCATTGGGCTGAAGGCAAGTAAGAAATGTGAACCTTGAAGGTTTGGGATAGAAAACAAAGACAAATTATTACCTCATTCTCCCTGACCATACCTTTCAAGTCTTCTTCCTGGTTTGTGATATTACTTGGAAAAATACACTTCACCACACCTATCTGAATTGCTCAATATTTGCTTGAGTAAAAGAGGCTGCGGGCAAGCCAAAGGAGGAGCTTTCATTCTTTTCTGTCTGTCATTCAATAAATAGGCAGCAAAGTCCTCACCATTCCAATATACTGCTGGAAAGATGAGACAATCACAGCAGCTGCCCCTAGTGGGGCTCTTATTGTTTTCTCTTATTTCAAGCCAACTATGCACCATCTGTGGTGAGTATCCTTTGATCTAAAATTACTCTACTGTGATAGCCTCCTGACAGCTACTGACAGGAAACTTTGTAGAGAGTTATCTGAAAAAAGATCCTATCTCAGTTTTATATGTGGTTGGACTCTATGAGTAATGTAAAGGGTGGCCAGAGATGGTAAGGAAAGTTCCACAACTATTGTTATGAGGGATCAGAGATTCAATGTTAACTTGCCTAACTATTCTTTCTATGTTCAGATCCTCTCTACCACAGTGATGTTACCAAGTTGCTGGCTATTTCTGTTCATTTTCAATGGTGGAAAACTCATGACCCCCCAAAATTTTCAAGATCATGAAAAGTTATCTTTCGATTTTGAGATACAATCTATTTTTCTAAAGTTCAGCCCATGGGCTTTGGGTTAACCTTTTGTGACTACACAGAAACACGTAATATTAATAATCTCTTTTAAATAATGAAAACTGTTCTCTTGTCATTATTGAATTTAGCTATTTCATGCTACACATTCCCCTACCTTCAACTTTTTCCTACAGGACATGGGTACAACCCCCATCATCTTTCCTTTGGATATAGACACCAGTGACTATGTGGTTCTATTAAAAAAATTAGTAAGGAGAAATAAAAACTGGGTTTAGGTCTAGTCTGACCCCTTAGTAGCTGAATGATCCAATATTTCTGATTTTTTTAGCTTCATTCATAAATGGAGGTTAATCAGGGAAGGGTGTTGAAGCAGGTGATTTATTAAAGTCTGGTGTAGCTCTCAGATGCATGATTTCTGCATGTAAGTCTTTACCCTGAAATTAAACTTCAAATCAGTCCAAAGATGACTATATGGTGCAAACTGTGGCTACATCTTCATGGTACTTTCTAGCCTACTAGTACAAGAAGAGATCAACACCACAACAGAAAGACATGTATTCACACAAGCTAAAACAAAGACTAGGCCAACTCTAATTTTATTTTCTGGCCTGTCATTTTCTTTATTGTATCCTAAGAATAGGGGGTCTCTATGGAGGCTTTGAAATTCAATACATTGTACAAAATAATTTACTTTAGTGGTCAAAGAAGCTGGTTGGAATTGTTGGTCAAGGAAGCTGGTTGGAGTTATTGACCAGGAACTAAAAAGTCTGTTTCGAAGCCAGAAAATCTGCTAAATTAGATGCTTCCACAGAATGTCAGAGATGACTCACAATTATCCAATTGTATCTGTGGCAAACCATGACCCTTTCTATGATCACTGAATTCAGATCTTCTTGATCTCTATTTAAAATGAAGAAAGGTGAGCAGGGAAAATCACATAGCCTGGATTCTCTAAGTATAGGGATAGAAGCTCCAGCTAAGCTAAAAGTAACAATTTGTACAATATTTTACAATTTATTGATTTATTGTCCAATATCTATGAAGTAGTTGTTAAAACAAAGAAACTGAAGGTCAGGAAAGTTACATATCTTACCCACAGTCATAAATTAAGGAGCATATAATCCAGCCACAGTCTGTCTGGATCCAGGGCTCATATTCTTCTCACTATCACACTAACCCATGATAATCTGGAAATGGGTAGGATTTTCTTGGGATTATTATCAAAGCATATTTAGAAATGGTAACTAACTTTTCTTGTTCTCCTCTAGTTCTTAGGGATTCTGAATTCTCTTTTTCCTTCCACAGTATAATGTGACTCCCTCCATCCTTTTGCTTGGGATTTGGACAGGTTGTTGGCTAAATCTGGAGGGTTTCCCATTCTGAGCTTTAATATTTTCTATGTGTTTCTTATTTCCTCCCTTCCCTGCCACAGAGGTAAGCAAAGAAAACCACTCCCGTTTAAACCCTCTACTAAACACAATGATCCATTCAAAATATGCCAGAGGAATCCAAGCTGCCAATGTCCTGTTGTCCCTCAGACTTGTTGGAATCCAGGACCAAAACTTAGAACAACAAGTGTTCCAAGAAGTCAGCGACAGTGTGGAAAAGAAGAGTGAGTACTATTAGTATATTCTCTGGAAGGTTTAGGATAACAGTTCCCTATCTATAAAGATTATCTCCAGTGAGTCCTAAAAATTGTGTGTCTAAAGTATCCCTGCTACATCTACCCAGCAGCATAAAACTTGAGGTGACAGAAAGGTACCTCAAAATATCAATCCCCCTGCCACTTACTCAAGAGCCACTTACTTCTTTGGCTCTTGAAAACCATTTTTTTAAGAGATCACAGGAAAAACAAAATAAATTATGGAGTCTTAACCATTAATACTGTTCTACAAACTAGCTGAGTTCACACCCAGATGGGGTGTGGACCACAACTAAGAAAGCTGACATTAGAGAGGCAACCATAGAACAAGAGACATGTGTCCTTGGTTTCAGTCCAAGCTCCACCTTGTACCTGTCGTATCCATACAGAGCCTCAGCTTTCTATTTAACATAAGGGGGAAATGAAGCTACCCCTACCTATCTCTTATTGCAAAAATTATGAAAATCCCAAGCGTTTTTATACTCTATAAGGCAAAATATAAAAGTTAATTATTACTATCCTGGCAAGATGACACCCACAAAGACAGAAGATCCCAAGATTTCATTATTTATCTATTTTTCTTCTTTTTTATTTTTATAAGGATTGTAAGATTCCAAAAAGATTCCATGATTTCATCTAGCTTACATTTTTACAGTACAGCTATCAAAAGTTATGCTTTGGAGATAAAGATGAGAACAGTAAAATATTAGTTTAGAGTGGAACATAAGAAAGAAGTGACAGGAAACTTAAGTAACAAGGAAGACGGGAGGCCAAAAATATCAGAAGTGTATACCTTGTTAAAATTGAATAATTTTCTTTTCAGGGTCAGATTTAACCTCGGGAGAGCTTGCCTTAGTTATACTGGCTTTGAGAGCATGTCAGAACTCTGATGAAAGTGTTACATATTTTCATCTGGTCAGCCAACTAGAAGAGAAATTCCAAGAAGAAATTAAAAATATGGGTGAGAATCAAGTGTTTAGAGACCCTGGACAACCTTGTCTTCTTCTCTACTGATTCAGAACTGTATGAAGTATCCTTCCACTCTTTCTTCTCCTCTTCATTCCATTCATCTCACTCTATCTTTGTAGATCACCTTCCCTTCTTCCCTTTCTACATGTATCTTGAATTGTCTTCAAATATGTTCAACTGAATACTGACCCTACATCAAGCATATGCACACACACACACACACACACACACATACACACACACACAATACAGTTCTCTATTCTATGCAAGCTTGACTTTTAGACAAATAATGAATCACACCAGAAATAACTGAGCAATACAAGACACTGTATCATGATTACTGAAGCATACAATACTAATATGGGAGGTAAAGATGGCCAATAGTACTTCATCACTGGAAACAATAGGTTGACCATGATGGCTTCCAGTAAGGTGCATTGCTTTTATTTTAACTCCTATCCAATATCCTATTATTCAATAAATCCCTCCAATCCCATCCTTCTTTGAGATGGCCTCAACTTCTTATAGCTTCAGCTCATTACTACAACATGCAAGAGGCTTGGTGGTGGGAAATCTGTGTCCTAGCTTTGTAACCACCTGAATATCAGGATAATATTTTAATACTTTTAATGCTGGGTCTCCTCAGTGATAAAATGTAAGGATTTTAATTTGGTGGCACTTAGAGCCTTTAAATTTCTCAAGTTTGCTGATTCTATGTGTGATTTTCCTTTTTTATTACTCATCTTTCATTCAGTGTAAAGAAATGGGAATCAAATAAATAGGAATAGACTTCAAATGTATTATCCCAGTACTACTTCCATGTGTGAGGTATTTCTTTTCTCTTTGCCAGGAGTACATGATGGCAATCCGCTGACTAACTACTACCAGCTCAGCCTGGACGTGCTGACCTTGTGTCTGTTCAATGGGAGCTACTCAATCACCGAAGTTAAAAAATACTTCACTCCTGAAAATAAGAACTTTTATTTTGGTGGTCAGTTCTCAGTAGGTGAGTCATTAAACTCAATTCCCTTGATAGAGGGGACACAGTTATTAATAGGTCTTGCCCTTAGAGTTTTTCTACAAGTAAGTACTTAGATTATTTTTCTATTTCATCTACCCTAGTCTCCTCGGAAGGGAGTTTTCTTTTTTCAGAAGAATGGAAACTGGGAGGCAGTTAAGTCTTTTTCTAGATGTGTAGTATAGTAGAAAAACATGGATCCTATCCCAGCTCTTGAGTTATAGAACCAATGGACATTAACACAACTTTAATTTTCCCATCTTTAAAATTAGGATAGAATATGAGAATCTTCACATTTTAGAAATCATAAGTGTTAGAGAACGGGAATATAGTGGAATCCATTTATCTTAACCCCTGCCTCTTTTTCCAGTTTATTGCAATCACTTGGATGTGTGAGTTTACTTGAACAACACACAACCTCTGCAAGTAACAAGGCCCAATATTTTGCTCAATAAAATGTGTATTCACAATGGGGAATTACCAGAAATTTTTCACTGGGTCAGCTTACCCATCCAAAAAAAGTCGCCTCTAGACAGCCAGTATTGGTGCTCAGCCCCTACAGATTCAGATACACAAAAGCTAATCTTCCTCAAAGCAGCTCAAAGAAAAGCATTCCGTATCTCTGGATAGTAAGGAAAACATGAGATTTCTTATACTCCTTTTCCTTTGAAAAAGGGAGGCCACCACCTAGGGGGGAACTAAGAATAAAGCCAGGAAAAAAGAAAACAAACCTTATTTTCCCTCCTTTCAATCTCATCCTCCACCTAAAGGAGGTTTATTGAAAAACGATTCTCTTAAGTGTTATTTACTAATCAGTCTAATGGAAACCTTGAAATATTACAAAGATATATTTTGTTTGGTTTGTCATCCTCTGTTTTCTCAATTCCTTTGAAAATACGCTGAAAGATGAAAAAATGAAAATGAAAAACAAGATGTAAAAGTGGAAGACTGTTCATGAGTATGCACCTACAAATTCATGTGTTTCTATGACCAAGATGTGAGTTATTGGGTACAAGGTACATGGCTACTCAACATAAGGAATCTTAAAATATTGGAGTGACGCCCTGACTGGTTTGGCTCAGTGAATGGTGCATCGGCCTGTGGGCTGAAGGGTCCCAGGTTCGATTCTGGTCAAGGGCATGTACCTTGGTTGCAGGCATATCCCCAGTGGGGGGTGTGCAGGAGGCAGCTGATTGATGTTTCTAACTCTCTATCCCTCTCCCTTCCTCTCTGTAAAAAACAATAAAATATATTTTTTTAAAAAAAATATTGAAGTGATTAGTGTTGAAAGGATGATTGCTATCTCTTGAAATCCTTCTCTCTCACCACCAACTAGCATGAACAACCATCCCAGTTTACCCAGATTGTACCTTTTTTAGCGCTGAAAGTCCCACATACCAGGAAACCCATCAGTCCAAGGCAAACTGGCATGGTTGGTGACTCTATCACCAATATTTGGTTTCCTGACAGATACTGGTGCAATGGCTGTCCTGGCCCTGACCTGTGTGAAGAGGAACATCCAAAACAATGGAGAGGATTTACAGGATATCAATCATTATATAGAGTCACTGATAAAAAAGATTCTGTCTGAGAAAAAAAGAAATGGTCTCATTGGGAATACATATAGTACAGGAGAAGCTATGCAGGTAAGTCAAAGGCTAACACAGGAAATAGGGAAGGGAGTCACGGAGGAAAGCAATAACTTCATTCTTTCTTTTTGGCCTTCTAAGACCTTATTATCCATCTGTTTCCTATATTACCTTTGATTCTACTCATATGATTCTCCTCCCTGCCTGAAATGTATTCTCCTTACCTTCAATCTTTACCTTTCCATATTCAATGCTTCTATGAAGCTTTTCTTGGTTACAATTTCTTTAAGAAATTCTAGAATCTACTACAACTTCAACCTATCTTGTTCTATAATATGCAATTTCACACTTTACCATATACCATTGTTTTGAGTTTTTGTCTTAACTCCCAAGTTTGATATTGTTGTAGAAGTGGCAGTGACAGGAACAGCAGCTGGTATTTATTGACATTAACTCATTGATGCACACAACAACCCAATGAGGAAAGAATCATTACTTTCATTTCCTAGAATAAGAGCATGAGATATGGAGTACCAGTAACTTGCCTGATATTACAAAGCTAGAAAGTGATGCAGATGGGGGTGAAACCTAAACAGTTGGTTTCAAAACTCACTCTCAGCACCTACACTCTCCTGTATATGTCCTTGAAGTCTGAGACTTTATTCCTGCACTGATCTACTCCAAGAAGACATCAAAGAAGACTTACAGAAAAAAAATTCACTGAGTCTTTAGAAGTTTGCCATGCTGACTCAGGGTGAGAGAACCTTCAAAGCGATAGAGGATAGCAAGACAAAGACCAAAAGCATCAAGAACATTACACATTTTAGGAAGATCCAGGTGTTTAGCATGGTCAGCATAGGGTCCTTAGGAAAAATTACAATGTGAGGCTGGTTGTAGGCAGGGGTCCAATCATAAGGTTATATTGTTGTTACTATCCATGTTGTCTGCCTTGCTAAGTTTAAATTTAAAATAAAACAGTGGCTTCCCATTCAAGCTGCACATGTTGAATCAGGAGCTTTTAGAAAATACTCATCTTT